GTGTTCCACCAGATCAATCACACCTGCCCATAGTGCAACCCCAGCCTGGATGTGAAGGGCTTGGACTGCAGGCATCTGCTTCCCTCCCATCCCTGACCGACAGGGGACAGGCCAGCAGGTGGTCACTGATGAGGTTGCCCCTTCTGGACCTGGGCATGTCTTCTTCCCAAACCTCAGGGTTTCTACTGCCATGGGGATTGCAGTGATTAGGGGGTGTGCGCGCCAGCTCTGAGGGTACCGACCATATAGCGGCGGACTTGCACAGCCCACTGCGTGGCCCCGCCTCTTCATGGGTGGAGCTAAGCCAGGAAGCGCCCACTGGCTTGGCAAACAAGTCCTCCAGGGTTCACACAGGAGTGCCTTTGCTGGGAAGCACCCATTGGCGTGGCAACCGAGCACCACCCTGGCCTACGGGCGCAGGTGCTCTGGGACAGGCCACCCGTTGACATGGGAGGAGCTTTGAGAGGAAGCAGCCCTTGACTTGGCAATCGAATAAATCTCTAAGGTCCTATTGGTTCATTCACGCAAGCAACCTGGCGTAGGCTACGCTGGCCACACTGACTTTTCCTGCCTTGGCAGCAAAGAGGTCACCCAGGACCTATGGGAGAGCCCAGCTGCCTAGAACCAATCATCTAGGCGTCCATTCGGGAAGCCCAGTGGGGCGGCACCCATGTCCATATGGGAGGAGCTTTGTGAGGAAGCGCGCTTTGGCTCAACAACCACAGAAGTACCAGAGGTTCTATGCGCCCATTTGCACAAGCAGTGTGGCAGCCCGAAATGCTTAGGGAGGACGTTTGCGGGAGACAGCTGTTAGCTTTGGAGCTGGAGCAGCACCTCCCACCCCCTCCAACCACTCCCTCTGGCCTCTCACCTAGGCAAGGGCGCACGGGGTAGAGCGGACAGTAGTGTCGTGGGAGGGTCCGATGTCCAGGAGGGCTCAGGAGGTGCGCATCAAGTGGAGGGCAGTGCGAGTGTGCCAGGTGGCCCTGAGGGGCTTTCGGTCCCTGCAGCCTGGGAAGACAGTGGAGCAGAGGGTGCTGCGCCAAGTGTGCTGCCCAGGTCCAGGGGGGCACAGATGCCACCTCTTTGTCCTCATCCTTACCTTCCTCCTCTTCCTGAGCACAAAGTGCGGGAAGCCAAGAGCTGCCGTTGGATCCTTTCCAAAGGACCACTTTGGCAGGGCGAGTGGGGGTACAAGGAGGCTACAAAAGTCCAGGCAAGGCTGCAAGGAGGGCGCAGTGCAGGGAGGTTGACGACAGTGTGGGCAAGGGACAGAGGAGTGCGCCGTGGGCAATCGGGCATCCGGGGAGGGCACCCTGGCAAGGCAGGGGGACGTCGATGCCTGAGAGGTCTGCAGGCTGGGCAAGAAGCCTGGAGCACTGGGGAGGAGACTCCCCTAGGCCGCGTGGACGGGGGGAGGGGTAGCTCATGCAGAAGCAAAGGGAGCTGTAGATGTGCCTTCAGCACACCTTCCCCAGGTCGCTCACCTTGCCCTTCCAATCCCCTCTGTAGACAGAGACGGTCTGCAGGTCCCTGGCTACGTATTTCCAACTCTGCAAGTGAATAGCAGTGGCCTGGCCATGTAATATCTGGAAGATTCTGAGGTGGGGGTGGGGCAGTTGCTGGGAGGAAGACTGTCTACACTCTTGGGGTGCTGCAACGTGAACACTGAAATCACTGATGTTTAGGTGTACGTGGGGGAGGGGCGTGGTACCCTGCACCTGCACTGAGTTTTCATCTTTGACCTGATGATCCCTCCCCCCCTTTCAGTAGCACAAGTGAAGACCTTGTTCTCCTCTGAAGTTTGTCAAAACTTGTCTTGACCAGCTTACCCTGGTGACAAGAAACATCTAGGTCCTAGGAACCCAGCTCTGTCAATACATGGACAGGGAAACAGATGTCAATCCTAACGTGTTTCCCCTAGGACAGAAGGCATAGACGTCCGGGGTGACTGCCACTTTAGCATCCGAGTGTAATTTTGACTCCAGGTGCCCCTGCTCTCTCTTGTTGGGCCTCTTTGACAAGGCTAAGGAAGAGGATGGTTAAACATTTGCACCTGAAGATAATAAAACTGAGCTCCTGCAGTGTCCCTTTGCAAAACATGGGAGAGAAGGAGGACGAGAGCCACTGTGCAAGGTGCTGGTGGCTGTGATGTGAGGACAATGAAGACTGTCACTGAATGCACGCAGGGCTGCACTGACTACAGTAAAGCCTCCCCTTTTTTTTAAATTGCTTGGCAATACGGGGGTTTGACTCTGGGCTCGGCTTGCGTGTCAGGTGCTCTCCTGCTGAGCCTCACTTCCAGCCCTTTTGGATCTGGTCATTTTTCTCCTAGGGTCTCACATTTTCACCAAGCACCCATGAATCCATGGTCCTCCTGATCTCAGACTGTCATGTAGCTGGGATGACACGTGCCCAGCTCTTTTTCTTTCTTTTTGTGACTTTCCTTTCCTTGTCTCTCTCTCTTTCCCTCTCCTTTGAATGCTTTATTATACTTCCTGATTCATATTTTATTGGCATTATTTCTTGATGGATAGGTGAGAAGTATCTATTTTACATCACCAACCCCCCTCCTCTGCTCCTCTTTTCATTCTCCCGTTATGGTTCTAGTAGATTCTATTAGTTTCTGAGAGATTCCATCCAGGAAAAAAGTCCCTTGTTTTCACCCCTTTGGCTTAGTTTCTGCAATCCCACAGGGTAATATTTTAAAGCATCTCTTTGTCCTCTGTCCTCTTCTGTCACTCACTGCGTCTTTCTGGGCTGACTGACTGCGGAGGTGATGTTGTGGGTGTTGTCCTGAGCTGGAATCCCCGTCCTGCTTCACATGTAGTTCTTTCTTCCTTTTTTTACTTACTTTTGTATTAACTAAGGTTATTCACATTTACCTAGGGTAAAAATCACCTGTTTTGGGTGTCCTGGCAAAGGAAGTTCGGCAGGTGCATACAGTCGGTCACCACCACCACAATTGTGATGTGGAATGTTTTAATCACCCTCAACGTTCCCTCATGCATCTGTGTAGTCAACTCCTCCCCAAGTTCCTGGCCTGGGCCACACCAAGAATCCGATGACACACGCTGATGACAGCCCTTTTGCTGTCTCTTCAGGGAGCCATCCAACAGGTTGAAACAGATAGCCAAAATTGACTGTTAAGAGCCGTTGTGGTTGTTGGAGCTACGAGCATAAAAGAAGAAAACACTGAGGAATAATGTGAGTGTGATACAACACCCAGAAGCCATGGAGGAATTAGTGGGAATGAATGTGTGAATATAAAGAAATTCCAAGTATATTTATGGCTGAAAATGCCGTGCAATCCTGAAAGTGCAAACTAAGTGGGGAAATTATTTGTAAGTCAAATAGTGACAAAACAATACAAAATCTAGAAACCAAAAAAGGTAAAATCACAGCATAATAGCACAAGAAATGTTACTCTGTCATGGAAGAAATCATAATACATAAAGTAAATAGACAAGGAAAGGTTGAAAGATTTGTAACCTAAATTCTAAACTAAGATGTAACTAACTTTTAGCGATCAATATATAAAAGACAAACAACCCAGTATAAAAAGGAAGCTGGATTTGCTTATTGCATTCTGGGCATGTATATTCAAATCTCTCACTGAACCCCACTCATATGTACAATTAACACATGTTAATGAAAAGTATCTTTAAAACTTGGAGAAACATTGCACAACTGAGTGGGACATGGAATAGATGGAATAAGAATGATTTAAAAAATGACTGTGTCGGTGGTATGAGTCTACAAGAAATATGATCAACGCAGATTAGTATATCCTAAGAAAAAAGTCTGCCAGACTGCATATAAGGCCGTTCGTAGTGCAGAGATTATTTCATGAGAAATTTTTGCTTTGTAGCAACATGCCTTTGTGTAAAGCATGGATGATTTTTTTGGTGGGACTAGAGTTTGAACTCAAGGCTTTACACATGCAAAGCAGACGCTCTACCACTTGAACCACAGCTCCAGTCCATTTTGCTCTGGTTATCTTGCAAACTATTTGCCCAGGCTGTCCTTGAGCTGTAATCCTCCTGAACTCACCCTCCCAAGTAGCTAGGATTACCGACCTGAGCCACCATTGCCCAGCCTGAATGAGTTTTTATTAGTGAATATTAATTGTACAAAAATGTGCTTCATAATGACATTTCATACACACATACAATGTACTTGATCATATTCACCTTCCCCTATTATCCTCACTTATCACCTCTTCCACGTCCCCAGACCTCCTTCCTTTTTCCTAATTTCCCCTCTCTGCTTTCATGACCCATTTTCTTCTCTATATTCCACATGTGAGAGAAAGCATGCACTACTTGTCTTTTTGAGTCTGGCTTATTTCACTTAACATGATGATGTCCAGCTGCATCCATTTTCCCGCAAATGACAGGATTCTGTTCTTCTTTATGGCTGAATAAAGAATCTCTGTGTGTGTGTGTGTGTGTGTTTGTGTGTGTGTGTGTCGTGTGTCATTGAATGGTGCGCACCATTTGCTTTATCCATTTGATGGACACCTAGGCTGATTTCATAGCTTGGCTATTATGAGTAGTGCAGTAATAAACATGGATGTCAGGTGTCTCTATTGTATTCTGACTTACATTCTTTCATATATATGCCTAGGAGTTGAACAGCAGGATTATGTGGTAGCTCCACTTACAGCTTTTTGAGGCACCTCCATCCTGATTTCCATAGTGTCTGCAGTAATTTATATTCCCACCAGTAGTGCAATTGCACAACTTAACTGATGATCATATTTTACTTTTTTTGAGCTAAAAGCATAAAGCAGAGGCCAGTGGTTTAAAAGTAAATATGCAACAGAAATATTGAATGTTTTCTGCAAGGGTGGAAAGCCTGGCACACAAAATCAGTCTCTCAATGGATCTTCTTCATTGGATTTCAAACTCTCATAGGATTAGATTCACTCACAGGGCATCAGACACATGGCAGGCTCACCATGGAGGAGCGTAGACTTGATTTGACATGACCAATGCCTAGCAGACCCTCTCTTTCCCAAGGGCCTTGAAGAAAGCCCTCTTCACTTTCTTGTTCCGCATGCTGTCGATGACTGGGTTGAGCATGGGAGTGAGGACCGTGTACAGCACTGAGAGCAGCCGGTCTCGTACGCCAGAATATGCAGAGCTGGGTAGGACGTGGCGGAGTACTGAAGTGAGGTAGAAAATACACACCATGGTGACGTGAGCACCACAGGTGGAGAAAGCTTTTCTTTGACCCTCAGTGGAGCGAATCCCGAGAACAGTCACAATATGTACATAGGAGATTGTGACCGGGGGCACAGGGTGTAAGAGCCACTAGAAAGCTGAAGAAAACCAGAGCAAGTTCATTGGCCTGCGTGCTGGAGCAAGAGAGCTTCAGCAAGGGTGGGAGGTCACAAAAGAAGTGGGTGATGAGACGAGGCCCACAGAACTGAAGTTGGGCTGCAAGGATGGTATGCATGAGTGCATTAGCTAAGGCAAGCAGGCAGGAGATTGAAGCCAGTCCTGCCCGAGTCTGTTGACCCATGAGGACTAGGTAGTGCAGTGGCTGGCAGACGGCTGCATAGCGATCATAGGCCATGGCTGTGAGCAAGAAGCACTCCCAGGGTGCCAGGAAGAGGAGAAAGAATACCTGAGTAAGACAAGCGTGACAGGGCATGATCTGCACTGGAGCCAGCAGATGCACTAGCACCTGAGGTACTGTATTGGAGCTACAAGCAGTGTCTAGCAGTGAAAGGTGACCCAAGAAGAAATACATGGGAGTGTGGAGTCGGGAGTCCATGACAATGAGGCTGGCCATGCCCAGGTTCCCAACCACAGCCAGAAGAGACTGGGACACTGGTGCCCCATTCCCCAGCTGTATGGAACCACACGCAGAAGCCTGCACCTGTAGAGTCCAACTCAGAGTCAGATGGGGGTCTAGGCATGGCATTCCAACTCTTAAGGGGTAGTAAAGGTGGAGGGAAGTCAGATTTTAGAGTTAAAGAAATAAGACTCGGAATTGGAGGAATGAAGTTAAGCTCAGGAGACCGAGTATGGAAGAAGTTAGGAAGATGGAAATGGTAACCCCATCAATCCCCACACCAAGAAGTGCACGGAATTTGAAGTTACAGGGCATGACCCTGCTCCTGTGACGAGATCAAGCACAATCCATCAACACCTCCCATAAGGTTAGCGGACCCTGTCCTGGTAAGTATCTATCTGACATGGCCCTATGATTTCACTGTCGCCAACCCAGGAGAACTCGACCTCAGGATCAGGAGGTCCCATCTTTCTGCTCAGAACCTCTTATGCCTCCCATCTCTGTCAGGGCCAAATTCAAAGTCCCCATCATGGCCTACATGATGCACCCTGTCCTTCCCTCTCCTCTTTTATCATCAAGCTAGAGTATGTGAGCTGCCCTATCCATGCTGCATCTTCAGACACATCCACAACATCGAACATTCCTTCCCAAGTCAGCCTTGGTGGCAGAGACCCCACCCTCCTATCCAACCCAGGCCAATTTTTCCTTGCACTCTCTTCATCTCACTCCTTGAGATCATTTCACACATGAACGCGCTAAAATTCTACCAACTTGTTTACTTTACAACGGTTTCTTTCTTGTTATATCCGTTTCCCCTCAATAAAAAAGAAGACAAAGTACTTTTTCAGACATCTCAAAGCTGAGATATATTGTTGTAAACATGAAACCTTCCCTACACAAAAGTAAGGATCATTCTTCACAAGGAAAGATAACACCAGATGGAAACGTGGATTGACAGAAAGAGATGAAGAGTTCCAGAATGGAAAATATGTAGGTAAATGTAAAATTTTTTTCCTCATTTAAAAATTCCTTTAAAACATAGTAAACTGTTTAAAGAAAAAATAACACATTGTAGAGTTTATAACTGCTGTAGAAGTAAAATTCATGAAAAATAATTCAAAGGACATGATGGGATAATTGGAAGTTTTGTCAGAATGTTCTTAAAATTGTTTGAAGGTCAGCTACAATAAGGTAAAGTATGTATTAGAAACTCTAGATCTAGGGCTGGGGTGTGGCTCAAGGGATAGAGTACCTGCCAAGTAAGTGTGAGACCTTGAGATCAAACCCCTGTATTAGAGGGGGTGGGGGGAGGGAGGGAGAAAGAGAGGGAGACACAGAGAGAGAGAGAGAGAGAGAGAGAGAGAACAAAAAAGAAAGAAAAGAGGGACTAGATTTAATAAAAGGTGTAGTAGAGATACTGGAAAGAGGAACAAAGAAGAAAGAGAAAATAACAAATGGGATGTTAGAATTAAATTCAGTCATATTACTACATTAATTTTAAATGGTCCAGACAACTCTAATTAAAAAGCAGAAATTGTCAGGCTGAATAAAAAGGCAGAGCAAAACTACATGCTAAGTGTTAGAAACTCATTCTAAGAGGTTGGAGTGTGACTCAGTGGTACAGCACTTTCCTGGCATGCATAAGTCCCTGAGTTTCATCCCTAGAGCTGCAACAAAAAGAAAAGAAAGTCACTCTAAATGGAAAGAACAAGTAAAAAGATGGAAAAATACACACCGTGTAAATCTGAACCATAAGAAAGCTTGGGTTGGCTCTATTAATAGCTGCCAAAATATATTTCAAGACAAGGAAGGTGATGGGATGAAGGATGTTTGCTAATGATAAAGGAGTCAATTTATGGAACAGGTATGTATGTATTGTATCTATGCATGTATATATGTATTATGCATTCAAAATACATGAAGTAGAACTCACAGAAAAGAGAAACAAATAAGTGTGCAGAGATGAATATTGAGCAGTCTACTTTTAGTAATTGATACAATAATATCAAAGGAAATCAGATATAGACCAGCAAGTTAGAGGGAGAGAGAGGATGGGGGAGGGGGTCTGGGGGGAGAAATGACCCAAACAATGTACGCACATGTGAATAAATGAATAATAATAATAAAAAGAACAGCAAGTTAAAATCTAAATATTTAATAGGAAAGAAATAATGAATATAAGAAACGAGTAAAATGTAAAATAAACAAACAGTACAGAAAAATCCATCAGTCTTAAAGCTTTTTAAGATGCAAATAAAACCACCAAAATAACCAGTGAATATTAAGAACAGCATTTGCAAATAAAGTTGCCAATTTATAAGAAATGAATACATTCCCTGAATGACACAAATTACCAAAACTGACTTGGGAAGAAATAGAAAAACTTAAATCTGTGAAACATAAGGAGCGTCTAAGGTCCATGTGGCTTTCCTGCTGAATCCTATCAAACATTTAAAGGAAAAATATTAAGAGTCCTATACAAGTTCTTTCAGAAAGCAGAGGAGGGAAGAACACTCCCCAAGTCATTTTATGAGGCCACCATTATACAATAATGAAAACAGATGAAGACATTGCAAGAAAAGAAGGTCTCAGACCGTCTGGGGGTAGAGTTCAGTACTAGGGCACTTGATTTGCCTGCAGAAGGCCCTTAGTTCCATCCCCAGCACCACAAAATTAAAAAAGCAACAAGCGCAGTACCCCTCATGAAGTTATACTGCACACACAAAAGCCTGCATAAAATGTTAGCAAGTTGAATTCAGCACTATATAAAGAAGCTAGTACATCATTACCAGGTGGGAGTTAGCCCAAGAACAAAAGGTTAGTTTTGTAGTTTGCTCTGTATTAAGGAAATAAAGGGAAATACGGTCATTTCGTTAGATTTAGAAAAGGCATTTGACAATATTCAACAAACATTCATAGCAAAACCTCTTGAAAAACTAGGACTACAAGGAAACTTTCTGGACCAAATAAAGGGAGTCTACAAAAGTCACACTGTGAACATCATACTTAATGGTGAAAGGCAGAATTTCCTCCCTTAAATGTGGATACAAAGCATGTATGTTCGCTTTCACCACTATAGCGACCACTGTTCCGGAGATGCTAGACAATACGCGAGGCAAGAAAGGGAAATAAAAGTGATACAGATTGAAAAAACAAAGAAGTAGAACCATCTTTTTTCAGAGATGACAGGTTTGTGTATGTGGAAATCCTAAATAGTCTGCCAAAACTAAAAGAAAAGTGAAATTTAAAAATCACTTATCAATCATAATACTATCCCAAAATATGACACATTCAGAAAAGCATCTAATAAAATACGTGTGAAGCCTTTACAGTGAAAACCATCAACTGTTCAAAAGGGAATCTAAAGGAGACTTACAGACATGGGGAAATGTTACGTGCACATAGACGGAAAGATAGTGCAGTGTCCATTCTCTCCATACAACCTATAAATAAATGTAATCTCCCCAAATCTTGGGTGTTTTTCTTTGTAACAAATTAAGAAGCTGGTTCCAAGATGGATTTGGAAACACAAAGGATTTAAAATAGGTAAATGAAACTTGAAAAAGAAGAATGAAAGCTGGAAGACGGGCTCAAAGAAGATGCAGACGAAACTCATACGTGGCTTGTAGCAATGCAGATGGGTACAGCCATATTGGAAAATAGTTTCTTATAAAGCTGAATGTATTTGCTACCCGGCAACCCCACTTTTATCATTTGCCCAAGAGAATTAAAAATGCACGTCCACACAAAGACTTGCACATAAACTTTCATATCAACTTTATTAATGATAACTGCAATTTGAAAACAATCCAAATGCCCACAAACAGGTGAATCATCATGGACGTATAGATGAGTAGAAACCCACAAACAGATGGTCACAGACACCCACACAGCTCGGTCTCACTCTGCAAACAGCTCTGGTTCTCCCTCTCCCTCCCCTCTCCAGCTCAAGGACTCACCTCTCTGAGTGTCTGCATGGCATCCTCAACCATTGCCCCTCCTCACCACTCTTAGTGCCCTGTGAGCAGCCCCGTTTGCGTGTTAAATTGAGGACATCTTTCAGTAGAAGGCACATCTGTCCTCTCCAGACCCCAGGGAGACCTCCTCCCCTCTGGCTTCCCCTCCAGGGCTCCCGATACGACTGTTGGGAACAAAAAGGCAGCATAAAAATAAAGAAGAAACATCTTTGGGAGGAATGATGCAAGAGACAAGCCAAACAAAGGACACTCTGGGAACCTAAGATGATAGTTAAGTGCAGTGGGTGGAGTGGGGGTCCAGGTCCCAGGCGATTTCCATGGCATATTGCAGACAAGTGGTTATTTAGCTCCTAAGTGAGGAAATAAAGAGGCAGCTCAAGTTAAAGAAGGCCTACCCTCCGGAGACTAGCCACTGAGTCACTCCAGGGGCCTCCCTAAAGCACCTATGACATTTCTACCATAGGCAGCTGACAAGCACGTCTACCAGACAGTTTCTATTCTCCTGGCTTTTGGTATTTGCTCCCTAGGCTTTATGCTCTAGTGCCCGTGAACTTGGGTGCTTGAGTCATCTGTTCAGTCTGACTTCAGTTTTGTAGGAGCGGTTCTGGCTGTAATGCACTGGACTTGTGGATCGGCAGACACACCCACAAGTGTGCTTTACTAACTTCCTAGACATGTGATTTACTTCAGAGTGGAAAGTGCAAAGCCTTGTCTCCTAGGGAGAATTCTAGCTGACTAGCCTACTAAGAAAAAAAGTCAAAAAAGTTAAAAGGGATGGTTTGTCTAAGAGTGCATTCTGAATTAATATAACTGTTTTTACGTGTCCTTCTGTGTACGTCTGTTAGTCCTGATAGTGTAAGTGACTCTATCATGAGTCACTTGGAGGAGATTAAAAAATTCTGATGGCTGCAGCAACAGTCCTATTAGAGACTTACTCTTGCTTCAGCCAAGCCAAGAGTAAGTCTCTTGGCTTTTTTTGTTGAGTGAAGAACAGCATTAGGTACAGCTCAATCTGCTCCC